TTTTTTTTTGGTGTGTATTTATTTATTTTAAAATTTATTTGCCACCCATCTTTCCATGGGGCTACTCTGGAATTTTTACAACAGTAGAACGTAACATTATTTTAAAAAAATATAAATATAACAATAGTAAAGCACTGAAGCAATAAAAATAATGAAAATACAAGATGGGCGGGCAGTGGGCAGGTTGTGCAGGGGGGTAGGTGGGGTCAGTTATTAGTCCAATAACTCCCCCCTGGGGTTCCCAGACCAACAGGCAGAGTAGGCTTTCAGGCTCTTACGGAGGAGGGTGGGGGCAGGCCTCACCCTAGGAGGCAGGATGTTCCAGAGGTCAGTGCTATGGCAAAGGAAGGCTCTTCTCCTGGATCCCACCAGGAGATTGAATTCCTTTACCAATGGGATCTGCAGCAGGCCTCCTCTGCCAGCACAAGTAGGATGGGCCTTCCTTGAGGGATGAGACAGTTGATCAAGTAACCTGGCCCCCTGCCATAGGGAGCTTTAAAGGACATAACCAACTTCTTGAAATACTTTTTTTATAAATATGCAGATTCCCTGAAGATGGTTATATGCAGCAAACTGAAGATTAGCAGTTGGTCAACATACCTTTTGAGTTTTCATGGCTGCTCTGTGGCTGTGCTGGACAGGATGCTAAAGGAGTAAGATGTGGATCCACACACAGCGAGGTGCAAAGATTTTTAATGATTTTTGAATTGGGGCAGGGAGATCTTGCAATACATTGCTGAAGCAATTTTGCTATGCATAGAGCTGAATAATTTTGTACTAGCGTGTTTTCTTCTTTCTTCACAGCCTCCATCAAAGGTTTTATAACAGGATTTATTTTTTCTGGAAGCTGCTCCAAATTGACAACAGCACAAGCAGTAAATGTATGCACTCTCAGCTGCAGCGTTTGCCATTCCAGGTTTGTTTCTATGACTGTCATTTGAACCTGCTGTCGCTTGCTTTCTAATTGCTGTAAAACTTTGGGATTTAAGTTTTGAGATGATGTAGCTTCATTAAAAACAGTAGTAACCTTAATAAAAAAATATAAAAAATACTATTTTAGGACATTCAAAGGGTTTTAAATCACAGAAGCTCAATAGAAACCCATATTTCTTTTTATAGATTTTCTCCTTTCAAAATGCTGTATTCAGAAGTCATCAAAAATGCATATCAAAACACCAAATAAAATGACACTTATGCAATTAAAAATAATTGTGGGAAGAATATCACACATTCATGCAGTGCTCCAGATGTTCAGAAAAAAAATCACCATTTTTAACATTTATTTAATCAAGTGACTTCTAGGTTGCTACAATTGTAATTAAATTTATAAAGTAAACTGAATTACAACTATTACAAAGGAAAGACAAACCAAGTAACAAATTACTCTTAAATTGCATACAAGTGCCGTATGGTACAGCCTTGTAAGTAACTAAATTTGGAAAATCCACAGAGATAGAAAATCAATGAATCTAAAGCTACTTGTGTCCTGCGATGATTGAGTTCAAAGTCTATTCCTCTCCACTTAGACCCTAACAGCAAAGGTGTCCCCAAAGAGTATCAACTTTTCGGCCTAGATTTTGTGATATACAACTGGGTATCCTTTATCTATTGATGACATCGGACCACCGTGTAGATTTTATATAGAATTGTTCATATAGTATTTAAATAATAGTGGGGCAACTATTAAAACTGAGGACTCTCTCCCCGCAACGAAAGACTCCTGGGCTTTCTCTCTTCCACATCAAGGCAGACTTAAAGCAGGCATGGAGAAAGGAGAACTGGTGTAACAGGGTGTCTTCAATGTGAAAAACTGTACATCAATACAATACAAAGTTTAGCTCAACCTTGGTGTTCGTAATTTCAGTCCTCACATCCCATTTTGGAATTTAAAAGAATTTTAGCCTTCTGTAACATCTTAGCTAACCCAAAGATTTTGAAATCTCAACAGTTCACATGTTGAGAAAGGTATGATGAGTATCTTATAAACTGAATAATATTTGTCAGCTATGGAAAACAACTAGATATTCTTATAATGTCCTTAATACTGAACGCAGAAGGGCATTTGCATGAGCAAGAATTCGGCCTTGCCCTTTATAATGATAATGGAAAACTACAATAATATCCCTGACCAGGATCATCTTTGCATTTGTTCAAATACTGAAGAGGAATCTGTGATTCATGCTACAAAAATATCCTTTATCTTACATCTGATATTTTAACTCACTGTGCTGCTTGTTTGCAGATTTTCAGACCATTCCCAAGCAGGAATGATAAAACAGCCATTTAAGGATTAATTGACTGAAATATCTAGGAAGACAATGAAACTCCTAGCTGTTGCTATTACTATTCGAAGGTATGTCCTACAGCTAGGTACGTCTAGACTCCATGTTGCATTTATCATGCTGAAGTTTGTTCTTTCCACCAAGATTTGCATATAATTTGCTTTATTATTATAACCCTTATGAGAAGATATTGGGTTGCAGTTACAATAATTTCTTTCTTATGGATGTAATAAAGATAGTTAAAAAACACTCTAGTGTTCTCCCAGCTTCCAGTGTCAGTTTACTCTTGAAAGACACCAAGACTTATTGTATTCAAAGCCATTAAGACATAGAACCAAGGACAGTTGCACCATCAGTATCCCAGTCCTACCAAAAATAATTAGGTGCAAGAAATGGCTACGAGAGGAATCAATTAGTATTGATTATTTTTGAAACTAATAGGTTACAATCTCATGCATCCAGAAGAGCTAAGAGGAAAGCTTACACATTTATGGGTAAATGTAGCATATTATCAGGGCTGCTTTTTATCTACAGTTATTAACATTTCAATTGACTGTGTGACAGGAACTGGGCTAACGTGGCTGTGGTTTCCGGGGTGTGGCAAGCAGCTCCAGAGCCATGCAGTTCTGAGCTGCTTGTTGCCCCATAAGATGGGGTGAATGGGGACCAAAGGGCAGGGATGGGGGTGGAGGAGACAAGCAGATGGGGGAATTGGAGTCAGTCCCTTACCTTACTGAGACTCAGATCTGTGAGGGACCAAGACTGGAATGACTTGGATTGGGGTGAGTCCTTAACCAATGACCAATGAAATTTACTTAATGACAGCTAATTGTCGGGATTGCAAAATAATGTGATCACACAACATGCTGCTCTACAACCGCAATACTTAGTGACCCAAATTGCGGTCTGAACTGTGGCTGTAAGCCGAGGTCTACCTGTATGCAAAAAGATCCTACCTATTCTGGAGGATCAACCGACTTATTTTAAAAGGTAATTGCAGAGACTGGGGGATACTTTGCCACCATATAGTAGTTTCAATGGAAGTGTGAAGGCTTAATCTTTTTTATTAACTTACTCACCAATTCATTAGCTTGATCTATTGTGAAAACGCTGCAGTTTACTTTGCTGGAAATATCAATGTTTGCATCGGTGAATGAAGAGATAAGTTGTTTACATTCGTTTTGCATCCGGGTGAAGGGAACCGCAATTTCATCATAATAAAGATGCTCAGAAAGCACTCCAAGTAAGCGTGACACGACAGCATCGGCCACTATTTTATTTTCCTGCAAACAACCAACATTTTACATTTTAAGTGAAGATGATCTTCAAGGCGTACAGAGGATTAACTTATTACAAGTACCGAAAAAAACTCTAAATGATTGAACTGGTGTTTATTTGGCTTCATGATTTAAAATAAAAGTACAATGCAATAAGTCTTATGGAACTGAATACTTAATATTAATGTACATCTCAATTTAAAAAATGGACTTAACCAGTTATGTACCCCCAAAAGCAGCAATGTTTCAAATAGCTTTCTGCTGGCTTTCAAAGCTCAAGCAATTTTTGAAAGCACATGGCAGCATAGTCTATTCTTCACACACACAAAATTTAAATGCTGCTATGCATATTCTTAGAAGACTGTTTGGGTACTTTCAGCCTCTGCAACTAAGATCATGAAGAAGCTTCTTGGATGAGAAGCGAAATGTCTTCAAAAGAAAAAACAAGAAAATCCAGTTGCCTCTTGAAAAAGCACCTTTGGGACAACCATGACCTAGATGGATTGAGAATCTCCATAGACATCATGAATTACAGTTCTGTCAATTTCAGTCAACCTGAAAATTATCTTGCGTATGGATTGTTATCTGCTGATGGGAAAAGGCGTTATATCTGAAAATTAGAAGCTTTATTAAACAGAGGCAGGAAATGGCTTAAAATGGAGAATGTATGTTTTAATGGCTGTACTATTCTCCTACCTTCTGCAAGGAAGCCCACTCACAGATTACTAATGCAACGCTAAACCTCTGCAAAGCTGACTTGGAATTCAGGTGGAAAAGCAAGAGTTGGGCAAGTGATTCCCCTGGCTTGATTTCTTGGGAAGCAGCATTCACGCTGGGATCACAGATGCAGCAGCAGAGGGCTCCAAGTAATCTGGAACAACATATTTCTGTTAGTTGGGTTACAGTGTTTTAGGCCATTTAATTGGAATCACGTATCTTGACTATAAGTTCTCTCTTGTTTAACATAAAGATTTTCAAGAATAAACTGACTTTGCAGCCATCATCCGAGCTCTCATAACAACAAAATCTCTAGTTGCTGGATCTTCAATGATGCTTTCGGCACCAGCTATGTATTCTTGGACCACTTCTTTGGTCTGGGGTTGACTTGGACGCAGCTTCCCACCTGACTTTTCCTGTGAAAACAACACACCTGCTGTTAAGAGAGGACCTATGTTTTTATATACATACACACAGCTTTTCTTTTTATATTTGGAACAGTAATATTTGAAATGTGCATTTTAATCACAGATGAAATCGATACAGGAATATAGTAGGGACCTAAATTAAATATAATATAAACATGTTCGTTGTCTCTAATTTTGGACAGGATAATTTCAAACCCGAGCATATGCATACAAATCTATAACAGCAATAGGCTTGTAACATTAGCTGTCTCCAGTTCCCACCTGTGTTCTAATGCTCTGAAATTATAAAACAGCACTTGTTATCCAACTGCAATTGCTGGCTAAAAGGCACTTATATGCTATCATGATGCACACAACAAAGAAAGAAATGCAAGCACAAGAACATATCAGACAAAAGGCAAATATGGATTTGCTTTCCATTTCCAAAGTTTAAACAGAGGTGAAGCTTCATTTGCCCATTTATTCTTTCCTTCTTAATAATTACAAATGCTTCAGACTCCTCTCCTTTCAGAAAAATTAAAAGCTGTGATACTTGATTTTTTTTTATCTGTTTCATCCTATGGCTAAAGAACGAACCTGTTTTCCTTCTTGTTTGAAGCTTAAAATTTGACAAATGCTAGGTTTTTAACTTGGACATCCATTTGAGTGAAATCTGTGTAACCTAATGAAAATATAGTATTGAAATATAGTAATGAAAGTATAATATAGAAAATATAGTATAATTTCAGTTAATTTCCGAGGAAAGTGACAAGGGGGCCAGGAGATATCTCAATACAAACCACTCCTAGTCTCATCTTTGTAACCAACCAAAAACTGGACAAAGCCATGTCCTCACATTTGACCATTTCACTGAATTTTTGGTAGCACCATCTCAGAGTAGAGTGTCCAATTAAGTCAAATTAATCATTTATTTTAATTTTATTTTATTTGGTTTGGTTTGTCAATTGCTTACAAGATAATAGGTATAAGTAAAAACATAGTTATGAATACATGGATACATATTAGAAAAATAAAAGAAACAATAGGACAGGGATGCTAGGCACATTGGTGCGCTTATGCACGCCGCCTACAGACCTCTTAGGAAAGGGGTAAGGTCAATAGTAGACAGTCTAAGGTCAAAATTTTGGGGGTTTGGGGAAGAAACCACAGAGTCCGGTAGAATGTTCCAGACACTGACCACTTTGTTGCTGAAGTCGTATTTCCTGCAACCAAGTTTGGTGCGATTAACCTTGAGTTCGTATCTATTGTTTGCTCTTGTATTGTTATGGTTGAAGCTCAAGTATTCATTGACAGGTAGGACATTGCAGTGTATGATTTTATATACTATAGTTAGATCGGACCGAAGGTGGCGTAGTTCTAGGTTTTTTAGGTCTAGAATTTCAAGTCTGGTAGCATAAGATATTCTGCAACAAGTAGAGGAGGGGAGAACTCTTCTTGTGAAATATTTCTGGACTTTCTCAACTGTGTTAATATCAGATACGTGTGGGTTCCAGACTGATGAGCTGTATTCGAGTATTGGTCTAGCAAATGTTTTGTATGCTCTAATTAGTAGTGTAATATTACTAGAGAAAAAGCTAGGTAAGATTAGGTTAACAACTCTTAATGCCTTTTTGGCTATGTAGTTACAGTGGGCTCTACACTTACATCATTAGAGATGAGTACTCCAAGATCCTTGACAGAGTTTGGATCATCAACAATGTCTTGACTATTCAGCCTGTATTTTTATTTTCTGACTTTTTTTTGCCAATATGTAAGACAGAGCATTTATTTGTTGAGATTTGAAGTTGCCATTTGTTTGACCATTCTGATACATAGTCGAGGTCTTTTTGAAGGGTAGCAGTATTGTATGTGGTGCTGAATAGCTTTACATCATCAGCGAAGAGAACGCAGTTGCTCTTAATATGATCACAGAGATCATTATAACATAAACCAACCCAAAAACCCAGAAAAAAACCACCAGAGTACAGAGCTTCAAGAAGGACTCGGAAATTACTGAACTGCTTTGCTTCTTGCAAAGCTTTTCGTCATTGAGGTCTGACTTTTATCCCTTATGGGAGGGACAATCACCTCCCAACCTTACTCCCAAGTCGCCCCCTCTACTTCAGCTGCTCTCGCCTTCTAGCAATTCTGTGCACACGCGCACTGGGAACAGGCTCCCTTGGGTCCTCTGCTTCGCTGCTGCCAGACTCCAAAGGCAGCACTCCATTCCCAGATGGTCCTGGCCCCATCCCTGCATCAGATGCAGGACCCTCGTTGAAGTCCTCTCCAGACTCCCTGACTGGTTCCCTTTCGTCCTCACTGTCTGATACCTCTGCTGTCTACACTGGCTGCCAGCAAACCACAACAATAGATTGCCCAGAACAGGGGTCTCCAACCTTGGCAAGTTTAAGCCTGGAGGACTTCAACTTCCAGAATT